ATAACTTCCCAACCCTTTCCAAATGGATGTTTCTCTTTAAAAGCCCTGAACCCGCTATTAAGAAGGGCAATGTTACTCGGCAGCATCCGGGTTCTTTTGGGGTTGGGATGGTCAGCAACTTTGGGCGGCTGCTGATAGTCAGCCGCGAAATCTCCTTGGTCAGAGCCGGAGGATTCCGCTATTGGTCCCTGGCCGGCTTCAACGTCGCCGGCTTCATTTGAGGAGGCGGCTCCTTCGCCGTCCACCTCTCTTACTCCCGAGCTCCCGGAGGTAGAGGGAGCCTCCTCGTCAGATCCGCTCTCCTCCAAATTCCTCGGATCCTCTTCCGGGAAAACCTCATCGGCAGGCACTCTCATGGTGCGCCGGCTCTTAGACCGCCTGGTCGTTTGTTTCGTTCTGGCCATTGTGTCCTGCACAAACACAGAGAGGGAGGAATTCGGAGATGAGCATATTGGTTCCGACAGTCCAGAAGAGGCACCCCCTGTTCTAGACTCAACCGTTCCTGGGGATCGGCTGAGTGTCCTAGGCAGTGCCGAGTGGGTGGATTGGGAACTCATTTATGTTCTATTAAGAAAGCCGGGTATACAAGCGAAAAACGGTATGCAAATTGAAAGGGAGAAAAGCTAAAATGGTACAGGCGGTTACCTTGCTTTAACTCTGGAAAATCTGAAAACCGCTACAGCCGGTGAGCCGGGTGATGAACTTCTAGCACTCGGAAGCTTGAAACTCGCTGGTTATGCAGGCGGGAGCAGAGAAAAATCTCTCTAGAATCTCTCTTTTTCTCTCTCTAAAAAGTCAATGTAAAGTGTGAAAAGGAGGGGAGGTAACTTTCTATTTATAGAAAGTAAAAGTGGGGGGAAAATTTTGATTTGAAATTCAAAATTTTACCCCGTTACTGCTCACCTATGAGAGGTGGACACGTGTCACAGGCCCCACGTGACATGCACGTGCGACCTGTGAGGGGAAAATGTTTAGGGTATTTTTACCCTAGACACGTGGACCAATGAGAGGTCGCCACGTGTCGAGCTTAGGATGGCCCATGTGGCTCAACATCCTCTTGACACTTGGCTCCCTCAGAGATGTTTCCAAAAAGGCGGCCTTCAAAGGCCCAGATTCCTAAGAACGTCGTAAAGCGGCGCAACCCACTAAAATCTAGGTCAAGTGACCTAGATAGGGGCGTATTTTCCAACGACCCTATAAATAGGGAGATATTTCCCCACTTTGGGGGACAGATTGAATCATTAATTACACCCTTATTCTCTTACATCAGAGAAAGACCTGAGCTTGGAATCCGAGCAGATACCCACCTAAATTTTCGTTTTCTCTATTCTGTTTCAAGTTACTGACTTGTGCGTCGGAGGCGGAGCACCACCCAACCGGTGTCTCCGTTTGTTTTACAGCTCACTGCGGATCAGTCTTCGTGTTGTAACTCTCCCAAGGGACAAAAACACCCAAAACAGGTGAGACCCATTATAAGCAAAACAAACAAGAAAGAAAAATGTTTTCTAACTAAAGCAAAGACTTATTAAAGGATTCAACTAATTCATAGTATGACTATGACTACGACGAAAACTTTACATTAGTCATGTTGCAAAGATCTATTAAAGATGTTTTAGTGATTACTACCTTATAAGATTTGGTAGATGGACTTCAAAACACTTTATTGAAATTGTTCATGAAAGAAGATTTGTATATGATACAATCAAAAGTTTGAAGATCCAATAATCCTAGGGATGCATAGCATCATGGAGTTAGTGTTCTTAATTTTGTGAGTAAATCAAATCGTTTGATGTTCTCATAAAATGAAGAAAAGGTCTTGTATGTATAAGATGTTTAGTGGGAGCTATGAAGTCTTCTTGGTCTAGTACAGAGAGCAATTATTCATTTTTTGAAGGGTCAAGTGATGGCTAATGCATTTTGTATGAAAATCTTGAAGAAAGATGAGTACATTTGAGATTCAAGATCTATAGAGATAGGTCTTGAATGATGTTTGAGCTTGGTTAAGAAACTTATAATGATAAGACTCTTATAAGGTTCAACATTATATTGAAAGGAGTTTCAATCCCATGTAACATGACACGTTGCTTAATGATTCAATGCTTTGAGAAAGGTTGATGAAAGTAAGGTTTTGAGTGATGATCCTTATGCAACTCGCAAAGGATGCATCATGCATGCCATGGACTATACTCGTCTATTTGATTCACGTGGTTTTAAGAACAAGTGATGATAGATTTCAATCGAAATCCTATGTAACGTTGGAATACAAATTAGAAATTACTAAGTTCCTTGCAAAAGGGCGAAGGAAAATTCTTAATGTATGGAGATGAATATGATTATAAAACTTAGAAATTGCAAAATTCATGTTTATGAGAATGTCTCATGAACTCTACTTACTAAACCCCTTCCATTTCCAAAGCATGAGAAACATGCTAATGAAACTGGATTGAGGCAAATGATGTAATTAGAAGTTGTATTTGTTTTTGGAGAAAAACAAGTTACATGTGTAATGCTTTCATTTGCAGAATTATGTTTATCAATTGAAACAAAGTTTCAATCTTATTTAATCATGGTTTCAAGATTAAATAAAATGTCCAAAATAATTATGAATTGATGGGCTCATCAAGTTGATGACTTGTTGAATGGAACCCCACAGGTGAACTAAATTCATACATTATTTAAGTTCCTAGTTCGGAATCATTAAAGTGGACATAAATGATTTCATAAATTGGACTAGCATGTAAGATTGATTGGATAGTGCAGTTTCATGGGCTATAGGAGCATAGTGATGATGCTCGGTCAATCACATGGATATGCATGAATGATGCATGATCGAACTATTGACTTACTTTGAAGTTCAAGTATAGGACTTTTGGATATATTAGTGGATTCCTTTGACATGAGTGGAACACTGATTCCATTCAATGATTGATGTAGCCGTGGTACACTCAAACGTCCCTCCGTAACTGGGGATTATAAAGGGTGTTTCCCGGTTTCTTCATGAGTTGAGTGGGAGTTTTGGTTGCCACAAGATTGGATTGAGTCTACCTATTAAATAGGAATGTGTCTTGGACCCTTGAAGAGGGAGAATTCAGAAAATGCATGGCCGTGCTCAAATGCATTACATAGTAATCATTTGTTCTGTGAATCAGACTCAGTTTTTCAAGAAAAGATTTGTAGATTAATATGATCATGACATGAGATGCAATCATATTATCAAATCGACACACATTGACTAAAGGAATTTGAATATTGCGCACTTGTCTCAGACAAATGGGAGATTGAAGGAGTTATGTCTTCGATAAGTGCAATTACTAGATATATCAAGGATCACTATTATGGAGATAATAATTTCATTCTTTTGGGTCGTCATTGTTAGTTGCTAGATATGACAAATGATCTTTGGGCTAGTTAAATGGTCCAAAGCCCAATAGAATAGAACCTATGAGGTCACATACAAGGGTATTGGGTTAAACAAGTAAGAGGCCCATTAGTGGGCCTCATGAGATTATGACATACCATGTAGAGTGTTGGGCTAGAGGAGTTTGTTTAGGATAAGGTGTTTGGGCTTGACATGGACTATTATTTAGAGATATGATCTATAAATAAGTTCCATGCCTAGGGTTGCATTAAGTCATAATTAACTTACAGTAAGTTTGACATCAAAGCAACCAAGTCCCAAAACCCTAAACACTCTCCTCACCTCACGGCCCTCCCCTCTCCCCTCACGTCCGTACGTGCGGCGCCCCCTCATGGTGGCTCGTGGTGTTTGTCGTGGTGGTTCGTGGTTAGCTCGTGTCTCTCTTCTCCGTTGAAGGTTGATTGAAGCGTTCAATCACGACAACTAGCATTAGTGGAGGTTTAACTTGTGCCCGTGGACCAAGTAGAGGAATCACGCTTGGGGTTATTTATCTCCCATTGTTCTTGCTCGATCGCACGTGGAATCACGCTTCAAAGGTACGATTATATGTTCTTTATGTGTTATGCATTAGATCTTGGGATTAGGTATTGTATGAATATGATTCATGTTTTTCCGTTGCGTAGTACCTATAATTCCCTACATAGGCCATAACATTGTAAAAATTATACTGTGTATATAGTTGCTTAGGTTTTGGATTATTGTATTTTTATTGATTTTTATATGTGTTTTTTTTTTGTGTTACAGAATTGTTATTTTAATTTGATAAAGAACTTGGGTCATTACACACTAGTCGCAGATTATCTTTTGAGGAGCATGAGCATTGAGCAATTGAATGATAATGATGATGTGGTCAATAACTCTAAAAATAACTTTGATGATAACAAAGTTGAAGAAGATACCAACAGTCCAACACTGAAATGAATTATTTTTTGCTAAATATGAATGAAATTCACTCAAAGATGCCCAACGAAGCCATTCCAATGATAGAGATTGAGTTTGCGTCAGAGAAATTAGCTTATGATTTCTACAACAGATATTCTAGAGCTATTGGATTCGGGATTCGGTTAAGTAAATTCACTCAAAAAAATGATGAGATTGAATTAAACGTAATTGTATAAAGGAGGGAAAAAAAAGGATAAGGACTAGAATATAAATTATGTAAAATTTAATTTGTTATTAAATTTTTTTTATATTAATATTGATATTTAAAGTGACGTGGACCAATCAAAAAGAATGGGACATAAAATGGGATATAAGAGTGGGATAGAGGATTCAGACCCTTTTTTAAGGTAGTAATTTACAAATTTTCATTAATCGTTTTATTTGAAATTTATTATATTATCTAATTAGAACTTTTTTAGATCATAATGATAATGGAATCTTTATTTATTTATATTTTTGAATAATGAAATAAGGCGCTATTGACTGAAATCGCACAACTCCTAAAAATCTTTGTCTGCTACACGCCTACACATATCAAAGGTATACAAGGCTCTCCATTCGAGATATTTATACATTACAATCATCTGCAAATGTATTGATAAGAAAATTATAATTATATATTAACACACATCTAGAAAGAGAAAGTCCATTATTATTTTCATTACAAGTTGGATCATTCATAAAAATGTCTCAGGTCCGGTAGATAGGATAGAACCAAGATACGTACATGTTATCAAAGGAAATAAAAGGGTAACGAAGTTAACCGACCCAGCAACAAACAAGAACATTATAAAAACCATAAGTAACACACTTTGATATCACACCTATATGTGTAAATATCATTGTAGTGCATCGAGAAGCCAGAAGATGCATGATCGATGTGTAACTCTGGAAAACAATCCAAATTATAATTGACATTCGTACTTATCTGACCCAATACTAACACACATCAATGATGTATTCGGACAACACTCACGTACGCCGGGGGTACATGGGTGTCCAGGATGCTCCTCACAATTAACACAAATGTTGGTAGGAGGAGAATTCGGGTTTGGAAGACATGAAAGTTCAGGACAACATTCGCGGTCATCACAAGAATGCCCTGCGTGATCCTCACAATCTGTGCACACGTTGTTAACACATGCAAATTCTTCACAACAAGCTGTAGTAGGACTGCATTGAGCACCCGGACATTGTGCGCTCACATATAGCATTTGCACCATCACTGTCGAAAATATTGTTACTTCGTTTATTATTAGTACGAAAAATCACTATATATCATTATTAGTATGTATGATACGCAATTTCAATATTACAAGTACATACAAATAAAAATAAAAATAAAATACAAATAATATACATTCATATACATGTATATCGTAGCAAAAAATTGTAGGATCAAATGGTCAAATCCCACTAGAGGTTTTTTTTTTTTTTTGGGGGGGGTTCCCTTACTCTTCCCCTCATTCGTAGATTATGTAGCTTGCTAACTCGGATTGAATTTCTGTGAGAGATTTTGACTTGATAGAATCCTTTTCCTTACCGAACAAAAAATAAATAAACAAACAAAAAAAAGGTAATACCTGTGGCAAGGAAGAAAAATGAAGCTAATTGGATGTGCTTCCTCCCCATTTTTCTTTCAATTAGACCCAATAAACTTTCGTGTGTACTTTGGTATGTAATTCGTTACTGGCAAAAGTTTTTGTGAGTATCCCAATATTTTTTGTTCTATTTATACAAATATCATTGCTCCAATCACTAATTTTATATCAATATATTGGAAGTAGACTCTTCCATTGATATATATTATTTAGACTGCCAATTATATTAATTGTTATTACTATTCAAAAAAAATATATATATTAATTGTTATTAGATTTAACTATTCAATTGTAACAAGAATTCTATAATAGTGCAAGTAGTTACTAATATTACTTTTATCCCCTTGCCATATTTTTTGTTAAACAATATTCAACGTCTCTTAATGATTATATGTTGTATCAATGTTGTCATATTACTCATATATATTTATAATAAAGTACTAAACATATACGGAAGCTTCAATCATCAGTTTTAACTTTTGATTGGCCTGGGTTGACCTTTGACGTGATATTGGAGTCAGCGTGACAAAAAACTCATGGGTTCAATTATCATCCACCCCTCATTGTCAATGTGAAAAATTTAGCAATACATATAAGGGGGTCATACTGCTTCCAATCCGCACTTTAGACACAAAAAGCTCTTATGCAAGGGAGCGTCATAAAGTAGTATAAAATAAACTTTGGGCTCTAACTATTACCATAAACATTTGGTTAAGATAATCCCTTGAATGTTTCATTTTTATGACCTAATATTCGGCAAGTGGCATCAATATTTCTAGTATTTTCATGGCCTACATAATGTTGTCATGAATAATATGTTTAAGAATTTCTTATTTTGACAGTTTATGCATTGTTCATGCTAATTATTTGAACACATCACCTCTAAAATGAATTAAATTCTCCTCTCTCTTCTCTTCTAGAGTTTATAATTTTTTGTCATATAGGTTGAAAATAGTCTAATTTCTTCAGAATTTAGACTATATCCAACCCTTTTTTTTATTCTTGTTTTTCTATAGCGTTACATTTTAGGTTTTAATAAATCTACATAGTAGTATAGATAATCCCCTTTTTTTTTCTTGTTTTTCTATAGCATTGCATTTTAGGTTTTAATAAATCTACATAAATAGTGTAAATGATCCCCTGTCTCCCTATTGTGGAGATTCTCTCTATGATGGAGTCGTTTGCTTTTGTTAGTATAGTAGTTTGTTTTTCTTAAGGGTTAATATATGTGTCAGGGATTACAAAAAATTAAAAAGTAATCATTTTTGCCCTTTTATCAATTTGTTGGTAAAAATTTGTCCGGGATCCTAGCGATTGTCGAATTCTCAAATACATTCAACCGAATTGGATAATAATAATCTTTACTGCTACAACAAATCGTTAGACCGTCTCTCCAAAAAAAACTACATATTCAGCGATGTATGCGAGGGACATACCATAGCGCAAGGTATTTTCAATGATAGTAAATTTGCTGATGGAAACCTTTAATTGATTCTATTTTATGTATTGTTTATTTAAATTTCATTTATAGATATCGGATGACTTTTTATTAATAGATTGACTTTGTTAAAAAAAATGCTAATTATTAGAATAATTATAGGTTGGAGCGAAGGACACTTATGATTGCAATATATAACTTTTAAGTCCTTTTTAGTAGATAAAAGATTGTATTCACTATATATCTATGGAAAAATTGCTCCCATTTATCTGAACTTTGCCTCGTCCGCCCAAATTAATCCAAATTTTCATTTATTATCTATCACTCCCAACTTTAAGGGGTATTAAATTCTGTTGCACCAAACAGGTCATCCAACCTGATGTAGCTGGTTACATAGACACGTGTCAACACGTGATAGGTCCAAAAAAAAAATTTAAAAAAAAATCAATAAATAAAAACAAAAATTAAAAAAAAAACTACTAAACCCAACCACCATCCCCCCGTTCCCGGAAAACACTCCATCACCACCCCCACCCCATCAGAAATTCGCGCCTACCCCCGAAAACCCCTCCCCCGCTGCCGGAAACCGCCGCCCAGCCACCCCTTTCCTTCCCCCACCCTCGAAAACCCCTCCCTAGCAGCCTAGCCACCCTCGAAAACCCCTCCTCCCCCTCGAAAACCCCTCCCCAATAGCTCAACCACCCTCGAAAACCCCTCCCCACCCACAAAATCAGCCTCAAACGGCCGAAATCGGCGACGTTCAGCCACAAAATCGGCGACATTTTGCCACGAAATCGGCCGAATTAGGGTATTCAGCCCCAATATCGGCCGTGTTCGGCCATTTGTGGCCAACATCGGCTATTTTTGGCCATCGGTGGTGGTGTTGTGGTGTGCCTCGGTGGTGTTCGTGTGGTGGTGGTTGTGGTGTTCGTGTGGTGGGGCAGCTGCTGGTTAGTTTTAAGTTATTTTTTTTTTAAAATTTTTTTTTTTATTTTCTCTATTTTTCTCAACCAATTACATGTTGACATGTGTGCAAAAAAAATAATTCACAAATATTTACCTGATTTACCGGTTGCAAGTCATTTGGGTGCAATAGAAATTAAAACCCCCTAAAGTTGGGAGTGGTAGATAATAAACGAATGTTGGGATTAATTTAGGCGGACGAGGCAAAGTTCAGATTAATGGAAGCAATTTTTCCTATATCTATTTGCACTATGTTAATTACCTAACGATCAATGTTGTCTTAAATATATACGGGGCCTGACAACTATAAGAAATATGACTAATAGCGATTATAATAATTAAATGACCTATATGGAAACTGTCAAATGTCGTGGCGTGACAAAAGACATTGCCCTAAAGTCGAATTTTCCCTGCACAAATATACACGGACTCCTAGCAATCGACCTCCAATGATACACGACTTCAACTCTTCGGTGTACTATGGAGAGTTAGATTTAAAACACATGCGGACAATGCTCAATAGAAAAGGAGGTCATGAAGAATCATTTTAAGAGAGACATATTCTCACTTCGCTTATTTTTTTTCTATCCTCGAAAAGGGACAAAATGAGATGTTTATATAGAATATGAGTGTGAATCGGGTACAACGAATCTGGTCACGAACAAGAGTGAACCAGGTATAATACTCTGGGCACGAATAAGAATGAACAAGGTACAACAAATCTGGTCATCAATTAAACCAAAAATGGTTAACATCTAAATCCACCAATGAAGCCAAAAATAATTGACTAATTAAGCATATTTCAAGGAATCAACTTATATAATTTAGGAAGCCTTAAAAAATACGAAGTATTCTACAATGTAATCTTTTGACAAAGGAGAAATTCATTCTTTTGAACCACGACTTACTTGGAGTTTTAATATTCCCTCACATGGTTCAAAACAAAAATAAAGATCAAGAAATTGAGCATTGGATATATAGTGTTACAAGTACTAATGTCTTGTGGACTTGAATTGATACCCACTACTTACAAATGTACTCTACAGTCATATTGGGTGGACTTCGCCTTAAACCTTTCATGAAGTTTGTAAAATACAACTGCGTACAACACTTTTCTCAAATCAAAGGTGTTCCACGAAATTAAAAATGCCTCATATTTGCCTGGATTTCCATGAATGCTCTAGAGGTCCTAGCCTTTGGAACCTCATAAGGGGGTGGCCGTTAGCCGCCCACATTCACATTGGTAAGTTCACTAAGTTTTTACTGTTACAAACACCTTAAACAAGGCTATGAACATATTAAGAGTTCTTAAACTCAACCTTTCACACATAACAATAAAACTACCACATTTCTTAGCTTTATTAATAGGAATAGCTGTGGTACTATAATTAAGTTTGTTTGTGACTTCGTTTGACCCATTGAGATTAGAAATTGTTAAGATGGGTATCAATCACAATTCAGTCCTCGACTCCAAATAGGCTAAACCTATTCCTTGTAATGACTCCAACACCAATTTTTCAAATGCCTTTTATTGAGGAAATATATCTAATATTCCTCTCACATCACATGATCACATATAATGATTAATTAGTATACATGCCTCTAGCATGCATACATTCTTAATCTAGCATAAGCTACCTCAATTGTAACTTAAACTCATCGGCAAATGTAATAAATGAAGTTGGCTTCCCCCACAATGAATATCCACTACTCCCTCCATTTTTAAATACTTGCTTTATTTCTCCATGCACGGAGTTTTAGGAGAAATTGGAGAAAGTAATAATATATGGAGGTAGTGGGGTAAGTGGAAGAATAAAAATTATAAAAAGCAAAAGTAGTAGAGAGGATTGGAGGAGAGAAAATATGAAATTAATAAAATATGATCATGGTAGGTCAACTAAGTGAGAGAAATTAGTTAAATATTGTAAAAGCTTTTCAAATAAGGAATTGGAGCAAGGATTTAAAAACGGCCAAAAAAAAAAAAGTAGAGCAAGTATTTAAAAACGGAGGGATCGGAGTAATAGATTTTGCAATAAGATTGCACAACGCTTTGAGCCAAAACTTCATAGTGACTCGCCATTGATGGTTATTTGATAAACATCTTAAAATTTTGCATGTAATTCTTATTTCAAAATGACATAGAAAAATATGTTAGCATATTCAGCCTTAATCACATATTATGTCCTTTAAATAGTATATTCATCGTATTCAACAATCACAACATTACAGAGTTTCAAAAGATAAATGCAGTGGCGGACCTAAAAATTTAACAGTGGGGGACAATTTCGATAATTCAACTAACATCAACATGTTTTTTTAAAAAATGGGTACAAAATACAAATAATTAGGGTACATACTTGATTAATACGAGAATTAAAAAGTTACAATCCCAAAATCCATTAAATAATACAATTCGGTTATATACTACTAAAATATCCTCCGAATCTTCATTCTTTGAAATCGATCAATGATATCTTTATCGGGGACTTGTAAAAACACTCTTTCTCTATAAAAGTAATCAAACAATATACTATTTCTCAATTTATTTTTGACATATCCTAATTCATTTAAAAAAATAAGCTTCAATAATCATCTTTTTAACAATAAGCATTCAAAATCTAAAAAACCAAATCACAAACTAAAGTCACAAACTAATTTACAAATTAATTAAATTCACAAACTACTTATCTACTTTCAAAGTTTCAATCTTCCATTCACCATATTCACCAAATAATTCACAATTCAATTCACAAACTAATAACAAATAAACTAAATCACAAATTAATTCAAATACATGATTACATAAACACAATTACTCATGAACTAATTCTTTGATTTTTTATAATCTAAGATTAAAATTAGGAAATAATTAAAAAAAAAAAAATGGCTTGGGTTCAGTTCAGTGGGTTGACGGCTTGACGGAAATGACGGGTAGTGGCGCTGTCTGTGGCGGTTTTGCGGCGAGAAATCCGGTGGTCGATGACTCGGTGGTACCGTGCTGTTGCGGTTGTGGGCGAAAGGGCGATCTACTTTCCCTCTTAGGTTTTTCAATTTTAAAACTTTTCTCTTTCCTCCCTTTTTTTCTGAAATTTTTTCTCTTTCATTCTTTCTTAACCCACGTTTTTCTGTCAGAGATGCTGATTTGCTGATTTTTTTTTTTTGAAAGTGGAGGGACAATGGTCCCCCTTGTCCTCACGTGGGTCCGCCACTGGATAAATGCAAAGCATACAAGGAACATCTCATCTTAAATAATTTAAGCACCCCCACACAAAAAGCACTTGAGGTTAACAAAATAAATGTACATGAATCAGGGGAGATTTATACAGATTCTCGTGAGACCCATTAGCTAACATAATGAGTGGAATAATTAATTAATACCCCCCACATAAGTTACATTAACCAAAGTCAAAACACATGCTATTTAAAAGACCTTTAGGATTATTCCCTCTTATTATTTCAATATGTAAAAGTTCTCATAATTTCAACTTTTGACCATCCTAAATTTTAAGGATTTGGTCAAAACAACGCTTTTACTTCTACCATATAAACATGGAAAGGAAATAGTCTCACCTCTTAGACCATCAATGAAATTATGACTTAAGCAGGCATTGCAATTACAAATAGAATAAAACACATTTATAACTCTACTCTCTAAAAATTTAGTGAATAATCTCATCAAGGATTAACTCATATGCAGTGAATACCAATCCTTTAAGTCACAAACTCATAGGGTTTGCAACAATTGACTTAAGTCAATATACATAACCATCATATCCATTGCACACTAGATAAGAAAAAGGTTAACGCTTTTAAGCTCTTTAAGAGTCTCATAAACAAATCCAAATCAACCATAACATTTAAAAGAAGTAAACAAATCGCAACTTGACAAATCAACAAACAAAATAGTCACAAATAAAAAACTCTCAAGGGATTCACCATTTCTCAACACACTCACTAAATAAAGTGAGTCAAACTAACATACTCATTAGTCTTAAAATCAAACAGAACTCACCCTCACATTGTAAAGCAATACATAATAATTATGCATATAAGGGACACATAATAAACATGTTATGTAAACTTAGTTTGATAAAAATAAAATAATAATTATGCATATAAGGGACACATTGTTTGGGAGAAAGCTGAAAGCTGAAGCTGATTGAGTTAGCTGATTTTGACTAGCTGATTTTATTAACTGATTTGACTAATTTATTGTATTAACTGATTATATAAAAGTGTTTGGTAAATAGCTGATAGCTTAAAGGTGATTGAGTATGTGAAATGACCAATAAGCTAATTGTGGGGTAGGTAGTTTAGATAGGATTTTAAATTAAATGAGGTTATAAATGTCATTTCACAATAATTAATGAATAAGCTAATTGAAAAAGCTCCTAAAATGAGCTTTTTCAAAAATAGCTTATTTAGTGGAATAAGCTCTTTCAATAAGCTTACTACCAAATACTTGTATTAGCTTGTTTGACTAGTCAATCAGCTAAAGTTAGTCAAATAAGCTAACTACCAAACAGGGCCATAATAAACATGTTATGTAAACTTAGTTTGATAAAGATAAAATTCGAGAGGACTGAAAGCTTGACCGCTCATATCTGAGTAGAGAAGGAAAGGAGGTCGACTCAAGAACAAATTTACTTGTTTTATCACAATAAATTGATTCAAATTAAAATACTTCTATCATATATAAAAGTTAGAAGATTACAATGAAAAACAAATTAAGAACTCAATGAAATGAAAAGAATAAAGAAGGAAGTCAGTGACACATTGCGGTAGCATGTTATCTTTTAATAATAACAATAATAACGGTAGTGTCGGTAGTGACGGTTTTGCTAGTCTAGATTCAGGTGATCTAGGAGTTTCGGTAGTGTCAGTGGTTGTGGTTGTCTGGGTTTGGAAGTTTTGGTAGTGTCTGTGGTTGTGGTGGTCTGGGTTTGGTAGTTTCGGTGGTCTGGGTTTGGGGGGGTGTTAGTGGTGATGGCTAGTCTAGTTTAGGTGGTGTCGGTTGTGGTGGATGGTCTAGTTTAGGTGTTTTCGGTGGTGGTGGCCTGGCCACATGGTGAGTGACTTGGGTAGTTTACTAATCATGTTTAATTTATCTCTCCTACTTAATCATAAACCCTTTTACTCCATAATCACCATTATGAAATTTTGACTTAAGATCCTTGTTGCACCTCAAAGTTGCAAATAAAACTTAACGGAGATAGTAAATAAAATATTAATAAAGTTGCTTTTATTTACATTTTTTGTTTCTCAAGAAGAGAAAATGGGGCTACCTCGATTCAAACATCTCACTCATTCAACATACATTTTCATTCAAGAATTTGCCTATTGTTTTTCCTGCAACAATAACAATAACGGCCCTACCGTATCCCTTAAGAAGTAGTCGTCTATCAACACACAATACATCGAACACGAAGTTTCTCCAAAAAAAAAAAACAAAAAAAAAAAGAAATTGCATCTAATTCGAAACAATGTTATGGGAGAAAAAACAAAAGTTGAACCTGAAGGCTTCTCTTCCATCTTCATTGGAGACTCCAACTGATCCTGCATTTGTCTTGATTTTGCAATTTGTGTATATCTGGAAACTTGGAAAGGATTTTAGCACCCCATAATATGTGCACTTCAACTTCCTAGTAAAACTGCATATTATGAAGATATAAAATCACTCACTGAACATATCTTAGCAATGACTCGAGAGTTCTACCACTATTGGAATGTAAAATTTCTTTTCCCACATTTGTATCCTAGGAAAAAGCTGCTTCATAACAATAAACACGCCGGGTGATTCATCCAACAGTTGGAGTGTGCTCTAATGTATTCGTTAGCACGTTTTCATAAGCTGTAAGCAGAAACTGTCCAGACACAGATAGATATCAGGATGCTCCAACAAGCATTGCATTAGCTGTGCACTTTAAAACACTCTAAAAGTGGGAACAGCTGAAGCAGTTCTTCACGGGTTCTTCTCTAAAAATATGAAAAAAGGTAGATTAATGCAATGATCTTTCAGAAAAGCAAGAAAAGTTGATGTCAAAGATATGCTACAGACAAGACTTGGTTTTTTTAAGTCCCATAATGTACTTCACATATTGACACCCCTAAATGTTAATGGGAGTTTTAGACTAGACACAACTTTAATGTTAATGCATCCATTCACTCCAAAATGTGAGGGTTGTAGAATAGACACGTACCTTAATGTTAATGCACCCGTTCACATCAAGAGTTTTGAGCGTACTCGAACATGACCTTGACAGTGCTTCGAGGCTCTGATCAGTCACCCCAAGAATTCCAAACAAGCTGTAGTTTTACTTCATAAACATCAGATTGATGCCAAACATAAGGTTTACATATCAATGCAAAAACTACTGAGAGGCAAGTTAATTCACATTTTAAATAACCATAATGTACGACATTTGCAAGCAATAACAATAACAAAAATAATAATAACAATAACAATATTAATAAATTGAGAGAGGGGAGGGGGGGGGGGACACGTTGCAAACAAAAGTTCACAGTTTTAGATCCCGCGATACAAAGATTGAAGAGCTACAACGCCTACAAGGTGGGTCAATAATGATTTCAAGTTATGGTACCATTACCTAAGTAGCTCAAGGTAGGAGCATCCTTCCGCTAGGGCAATGACGCCAGCATCAGTGGCACGCACACACCTGTTGAAGGCAAAGATCTCAAGGTGATATGTATTTGCAACTTCGTTTTATTTAGCAAAAATCTTTGGAGAAGGCCTTTAGCTTTTTTTACCAAGATAGATTAAGGTAGACCAAATAATTGCATTTGGCAATGCACATTAATCCTTGATCAGACAGATTCTACAACACCAAAAACCTATAAGATTAAAATTTTCAAGAATTGTCTTATCATAAAGAATATATTTCTACCTGAGCTCCACAAAGATCTAAGAACCTGAGTTGAGTAAGAAGTGACATACTCATGTAAACTTCATCAGTAAAGCTGAATAAAATAAACAAATTTGTCAGTATAAGAACATAGCATTAGGCATTAACAGGATTGAAAGAATAGTCAGATATGAAATCATCTATTACCTAGACAAGGCATACAAATTGAGGCTCTTAAGAGAGGAACAACTGCGCAGTATGTACTGCAAGCCACTATCACTCAGCTTGATGCACCTGTTTTTATAAGCAGTAATATAGGAATTAGACACATCACCAGAATTACAACCAACACACCCTTCATTAATCATTAGTCTGATTCTTGCAATGCCTATACTACAATTACCTTGTAATGTTCAATGACTCGAGTTTTTGATAAGCGTCAGCAACAAGTTGCATACTTTTGTCAGAGATATTCTGGATCACATTATTGAATTATCCATCAGAAATAGGAAAAGTAACAAGAAGCACAAATTTACTCACTCAGAAGCAACCCAAGCACACGATTTTATATCTTAAGTTTTGACCAATAGCTAAGTAGCTAACTAGTCAGAAGCATGTAGGAACGGCAGCAAATTGGATTTGGGTCGGCCTTGCAGGATCCAGATCTGAACCGATTAACAATTGGGTCCAATGTACAAGTCCAATTCCAGATTAGAACCCAAAAAACCATCCCTGGTTTTGGATCTGCCAGATTTCTAGACCTCTGAACGCCAGAACCCCAAATTCAAATCCGGGTAGTTTACGATTAAATTCACAAGGATTGAAGAGATTGATATACACAAATACAACAAATATCAAATTCAAAGATAACAAAAGAAAAAGAAAAATCCAACTTTATAGTTACACTGTAATCAGATAATCATATGGAGATATCACTATAAATTATGGAGTTGATACATACAATCGATGTTACTTGGACTCATGTGTAATGTTCGATAAGAGTACAGGTGTTCAAGTGTCCAAACTACTTATTAATCGAAAACTTTGCATGATTTTTACCTAAAATGAAGTGTCCGAATGTTCTACCCATGTCCAAGTGTTGTCCTAGACTGAAATTTGAGGTAAGGAGTTCAAGTAAAATGGCATAGGATAGTTCTTCTAAAAGTAGAAAAACAACCAAGAAATCTAACTTGCATGAAATGAAGAACTCAAGTTCCAAGTTAACATTAAATATACAATAACCATGTTACCCTTGGATTACTTTTTATGTACTTCATTCACTCCTTCCACTCTCCTCCTCCCTTCCCACTCTTACTTGCCACCACTAATAACCATAATACTACCACACACCAACTTCCGACATATTTTTGACAAGACAAAACATAAATTTTGAAATCATTTTGATTCGTCAAAAAGTTTGTTTATGCACTTGGATCATGGTACAAGGATCAAGCGTATATTTCAAGAAGCATGGATTATGTTTGATACCATGGTACATGCATAGACGCTTAAACTTTGGGTTCTACTGCCATTTTCTATACATATATTTAGAGTTATATTTTTAAGAAATGTATTTTTCTTTAATCTAATTTTTAAAGAAGTAACTCAACCAAAAGCTTAAACTAATGGTTAAAGCCTAGGTTTAGTTTCTATACTCTATCACACCCTTTCACAAAACTTGAAGGAGACGCATTTACAACTTTGGAGATTGGTTGAGACGGATTGATGCTGATGGAGGAGATATTGTGAGCCATTTTTTTGACTTAAATTTGAGGCACATGTACGCATTGAAGTCTACCGACAAGAACCAATACTTATTCCAAACGCATGTTCATGGCACATCCTACATCACTTCAATTGCTACATACACATCCATGGGTCATTGAAATTAACGGCATGTTCACCTTATTTTCACTTATTCCAAATTTAACGTCCTCCACACCTTAATTACACTTATTATACTTTATATAGTATGAAAATTACATCATATACTCAGGTGACCATGTGCATGGTACACCCGATTAAAATATAAGGGTTTTAAAAATGTGAAAAGAACATTGTGTACAAATATAAAGTACATGAGCAAAATAATTCAAAACAAAATTTAAGGGATTGATTTGTTATTTATACTCTTTAATATGTGGAATTGATTTATTATTTACATTCCAAATTACTTTTGGCAAACCAAAATTTATTTTTTGTTAAGATAGTGAAATTGAGTTTATATAGAGAAAGTAATCTTGTAAATTTTGAATCTCGAAATGTATCAATGTTATTACGAAGTTGATTTTACCGTTCTAGTGAATCTTATAAAAAAAAAATGTAATTAATGAATTCATTATTGAGATAAAAGGTATCTTTTAATTTTTCTTTTTTTTTAATATCTTTTTCTACCTTTTGTGTTATTTTCCGAAGATGATTATATATATATATATATATATATATATATATATATATATATATATATATATATATAATATATATATATATTATGATGAATGTTCTTTTTATTTCTTAGATTCATATTCATTTTTTAATTGGAATGAATTACTCTAATCAATATATTCTTTGTGTCAATGTTCTTAACAATACAAAGAAAGTTCTTTAAGGTATATAGTTAAAATATGTTTTTTGGGTATCAATATATAATACGAAGCACAAATTACGTTCTTTACACTTGAATAATGTGTTCTTCCATTTTGTTTTGAAAATGAAATTTTGAATTTTTGAATTTTTGAAATTAAAACCTTGAATAATTTTTAGGTGAACATAATTTAAGATACAGGAATTCTAGAAAATTGAATATTTTGCTAAAAATTGACATTAAATGTGAGGTTCATTATTTATCTTTTTTTAAAAACTCAAAATAATTCTTTTATTTCAATATTGTGTTCTTTTATAAATTCATGATGTTCTTTACAACCATTGTTATTAAAATCCCAATTTAAGTCTTAGAATCTTGCGATTCTATAATTTATGCATGTCATACGATTCAGTTTATGATTCTACCCGATTTTTACATATTTCTCTTAACTAGAGAAATTCTTAAAAGTTTAAAACATACCTATATAGTTATTTATAAATATATATTGTCAATTATTAGTCGTTTGATGAATAAATAACTTTTTTCTATCAATAATTAGGTTTCAAACTCAAAATTTAAATATATTGAATTAAATTTAGATATGACGTCTTGATTATGCATGCCGGTCGATTTGATTTTACGATTCGATTTGGATAGTCCCTTCCGATTCAAAGTAGAATCCCGATTTTAATAACTTTGTTTACAACTATAAGTTTTGTTCTTTCCACGAACCACCAATTAGATAGAGTATTACTTATCAAGATTGCTTTTCTTTTTATTTATTTATTTTTGTCTATTTTTATATGTGCTTTATTATCATCTTTTTCATACAAGAATAAAGTAACATGTGCAATAAAAAAAAAGAGTAATGTTATACTTTCTCCGTTTCTTTATAGTTTGAAACACTTTCCTAAAAAGAAAATGTCATGATAGATCTAACACAGTATAAAAAGAAAAGGTTTTTACGGTGAAAATTGTACTATTACCTTTATTTAAAACTCATGGCCCACTTAATTATGCTCCTAACAACCTCTTAACCCCATATTAAGTATATTACATCATGTAAGCTCCACTTTTCTTAAATGTCGTACTAAAGTGTGTGTTGCAACTATAAATAAACACATGAAGCACTTATGAGTTATGATAAAACTCACATGTCAATCATATAAGTTTTGCTTTAAACAAAAGTCAAGCAAATAAATAAACCTATTCATATGGATATATGATGGTTATAGGTTAAATAATCAATTATAAAATAATGTTGTTAACAATGAAGTTTAAAATAGTGATTAATAATGTTGTTAAGCCATAAAATAGTGTTAATAGTGTTAATAGTGAAATTTAATAATTCTTCCTAAGCAATATTTACTTTTCCGAGCTATAAATAAGGATTAATAATGTTGTTTAAAGTCAAATATCTACTATTCCTAAGCTAGAAAATAGTGATTTTAGTTTCTTCAATTCGTTACCACTGCTATAATATATACACAAACTATTTCTTATTCAAAACTTATTCAAGGGTATCTTCACATAACACCAAGGTATGAAAGCTTGATTATGAGTTTCTTAAATCACTTTATTTTGATACTAATTTTCGGTTCTCATACTACATTTTATAGGTTTTGACAGAGCTAAATTCAATAATAGTGTACTTAACAAACAAGCTATGTAAGTCTATAATGCCTTTAATTTTTTATTTTGATTTATATATTGATTTTTTTCAATGGAATTTTTAAGCCTTTTTCTAAAACAATCTTAGTTAGTAAAATTATGATTTCTATCTTACATTATCATTGACAATATTTTTTCCATATGTTAGTGTAATACGTGATACATGAATATGTGGTAGACAAATTTAGATGACCATTAGTGAGACGGGGTATAGATGCATGTTCGGCGTTTTTTTTTTTTTTTTTCATCACATTTGTTCATTTCTTTTACATATACAAACTTTATTTCGTTATTTTTTAGCTTCTATACTATACTAAAAAAAATATTAAATATAATACATCATATCATGTAGCCCATGCTTGCATGAAAAGCTACAGATACGATAAGGACAACATTGGAAATCAAAGAATCAAGTAAATAACATATGGAGTAGGAGTCCTAATTCTTTTCTTTTTTTAAAAATCACAAGATTTCATTAATTAAAAATAAGAACTACTAAGTAAGTGAATTGAACTTCACTAGCTCTCACATGAAATATGGAGGCAATGTAGCGATTGCTTATATTATTACACATCAAATGGATGATAAGTGAATTGAACAACGACATGCTTTGCTAACTTATACATAGTATTCCTTAAATATAAGAAAACATATATACATATTTTCGAACTTCTAAAATGACTAAATAAGTTGTATACCTTTTTTGTTTTTAAAGTAATACTTTAGACTGGTTGTTGCTTTGTGCATTTTTTCTCTTAACATCTACTTTAAGTCCCAACATCACCCATATTAGTATTTTACTAGTTAATATTGCTTTGAATATTTTATTTATTAACAAAACTACAATCACTTCCAAAGAAAGGACATCATGGAACAATGAGGATATTGAGATATTTTTGGATTTAGTAAACGAAAACAAAAAGGCAAAGTAGTGGCAAGTACAACTATGACACAATTCTATCACGTTTGAATGTACAAATAGGGAAGACTTTGAAAAGAAATAAAAGGAAAAGCTTGGAATGAACTTAAAAGTTGGACTGGAATTGGTTGGAATGAATAAACAGGTTACCGTGTGATTGATCCAAAAAGATGAGAAGTGGAAGGCATTTGTAAAGGTATTTGGGTTATGACTTTTGCTTTTCCTACATATATTTTTGTTATAACTTGGAATAATATGTATTTTTTTTTCTTTGTATTGGCTTATAAGAACTCTTCAAGC